ATTTAACTTTTCAAGGTGACAGGGTAGGGGAAGCCTATAACCCCATATGAAACCCAACTAAGGATCTATTAAAGATACACGACCGAAGTCAACTTAGCGGATCACAAAGGAGAATCCAATTACGGATACAGGCTAATTTCAATTAAACAAATTCTGTATACGAGGGAAAGCATGGTTGTCCTGATAGTGTAGTGGTCGTCACACCTGACTAGTAACAGGAGGGACGTGGGTTCAAATCCCGCTCAGGGCAAATTTTCTTTTCAAATATTTATTCTATTTAAATATGATTACTTGGGGTGTACAGGGTCAGGCGTGCCTTTATGTGAAAATGTGTTCAATTTAAAGCAATACCTCCTCGAGAACTGCACGACGGAAATCGCTCCCGCGTCCGACACAACATTCCAAATTGGGTACTACGCCGACGGAAAGAAAAAGTACTCCATATTATCAGAGATCCAGCTTGCTGAGGCGTTATCCTTGACAAAGAACGGAATTGTAACCTTTGTGGGTGGATCCACATAAAGACCCTTCAAGAGTTCCTCCAGGAAAAAAGAGGAAAGGTATTGTTTACAAACTATATAAAACAAGCCACGTCTGCAACACTTGAAGCTCAACATTCAGGGTTTTCTTTTTTTTTTTTTTTACTGTTATTTTCTTTTTCTAATGTTAGCTAAACCCAACTGCAATACTGCGCTGAGTGAAAGTGAAGAAGATGGTGACGAATAAAGAGAGAGTAGCTATGACGCTTGCTTATTGAGACTGCGAAAAAAACACAAGCTTCCAGAATTCAAGTTACGATGCTGGGCACGAATAATGGTAAGGAAAATTCAAATTTCCCGCGGATCACTTCCACTCAGCTGAGGCAAATTTAATCCCCATTATTAGAATACACCATTTTAATTTTGTAACGTTTTTGAAATATTAACTTTAAAAGTAGGAGTTGAAGAAATGTGACAGTTATTCATACAAATTTTGGACGAACGCATAAAAATAGCACGAGCTGCAAGTGGACTAACGCACGGATTATCGTGCACTGAAACAAAGCGTTTGACAATCGGGAAGCAAATATGATATGATAAAAAGTAATTACACATCTTTCCCTCCGTATCACTTATCTCTGATTTTCCTGAAAACATTGCTTGATACTCACTGTAATTACTATTTTACGACTTTTGAAGCAAACCTCAATTTATTGACTGCTGCTCATAACACTTGGAGCTCATTAGCGTGGCAATTAAAATGCAGCTATTAGTGTTGTTTTTTGTTTCAGATAAACGGAACCCACGACGACGAAGACAACCCTCCGGACGTCCCATTTTTTACTGGGAAGGTGAGAGGTTCGGTCAAACACACCCAACCATCCAGCAATGAAGTCACCGGGAATTCTACGGACATTGAAAAAAGGTAGGCATCTTAACATTTATCCAACAGATGGGTTTTTTTGTGCCTGCATGTATTCAGTTTTAATTAATCAGCTAATTTATTTTTGGTTTAGACACGTATCCGTAGTGCCATCCTTCAGCAGTTGAAGACCTCAAGAGTTTGAAAGACGATGGTGTTCTTGACGAAAATGAGTTTGCCTCACAGAAGGACAAGCTGTTGACAGAACTAAGCTCTTTGTAATTGAAGACAAATTCATAATTTACGTGAATAGTAACTGTTGTAAAAAAAGTCATCAAAAATACTCTGCATGTCGAATGTAGTTTTTGATTTCTTCATCTGTGACTTGAATAATAATAATAATAATAAAATCTTTATTACCGTGTCAATGTATTTAGCTCATAGAGCTAATTGGGGACACCTACTTTTACTAAATTAATAAAAAAAACTATGTACAGTATCATAATAAGTAGCAATACGATAAACTATGCATTAAAATTTTAAAATATTTAGAAATATCAACAGTGTTCAGATAACATAAAAATACTTGTACCATGCAGATAATTAAAAAAAA